CTATAGTTGTGCGATGCGTGTTATTTCTGTTATTGCATGGCTTTTCTTTTCCATCTATTATGATGAATTAAAGTATATCCATAAAGAAAACACAAAAAGCAATGTTGTTTGATTTTTGTCATTAATTGCCATCTACCATAATGGGGTTCAGATTCACATACTGAGTGCTGGGGGCTGACACTTAGCTACATCCATCCTGGTGCATCTCCCGAGCCATAACACAATGTGCAATCTCCAAAACAGAACCGCAAGCTCATTGGACATTATTCATTCCGCACAAGCAGCGCATACTGATGCAAAAGCCCACATTGTTCATCTTTATATTTTTTTTGTCTTTATAGCAATGTGCAGCCTCCACCACTCTGTCTAGTATACATTCATAATCATGTATATTTCAAAACTGACCAATCCAAACAGGACCAGAAATATGCATGTGCCTCACAAACACATGTTGTTCACCAAAATCCACCTTTTTGCGTATTGTACACTATCGTTTTGTGGGACCACAGCAATAATATCCAAGGGCTGCGGCTAAGTGGGAAGGTCCATCATATTTTTAATCATTTGCATTTTACCGGCATCCAATTAATACTCCTGGGTGGACACGGATAAATTTAGTGCCTAACCAAAGAGTACAAGCAAAATGGGCAGGGTTTGAAATTTGAAGCCCATATGTCCAATTGTCTTAGAATGCATTCAGTCTATTCCGAATATTCTTCCATGAATGTCAATATACTCGAGGTAGCAGACAAGGCACATCGTACATAATTGTCATTATGGTTGTAATGCTCAAGTCACACTATCAATTCTTGTGTGACAAATGCCTATGATTTGCCCATATATGGGTGTGATACGACACCATTATGTCCATATATGTGCAAATAAACATTTTTATCACAAAAAAACTTGACAAATGTAGACAAAGACTTCCTGTCAAACATTATTCTTATTTTTACTTACGTCTCCTAATGATGTCATACTGCCCCTGGGTGTTGACATGGGACTGATCTGGTCGCTGGGTGGACCGTACCCGAACCCTGATTTTGGTACATGTTGCTTCAAGTCTTTTGTAGCTTTCTTGCTTGTAACAGGGGTGTGGTCAGGATTGGCAGAAGCAAGGCGTGGAATCTTTGAAGTTTGCTTATCATTCTTGACAGACGTTACACTCTTGATGCTCTCGCGTGAAACCGCTCGTGGGATGCCTGACCGGGACACATTTTTAGCACCAACACCTGGAAAGAACGATTGACTTATATTTTTTTTATTTATATTATATTTTATACTATCCCTCTGATTAGATATTCTTATACAAAGCTAACAGAGTAACAAAGATTAATATGTGCAGGGAGTCATTTCCAAAGAGTAGGTGCTTCAGTAGCTGTGACTGAAATCACATAAATCAGAAGTGATGATGTTGGTCTACGAGTGTGAGAAACCTGAATGAACCAATGCCAATTTCTTATGAAGAACTTACCTAAAAAATAATGGAATCATCCAACCCAGGCTTGTACCTGTATAATGCTACAGTAACAGGCAAATTGAGGCCTGTCACATAACATACTCATCTGGGTCAAACGATTCCATTATTTTCGTGGGTAAGTTAAATTAGAAATCTGGCTTATATCGGTTCATCCAGGTGGGTATTCAGGAAATATACATTTAAATATTAATAAATAATAGTTAAAAAGATTTTCAAGGCTTGCTACTTTAATCTATGTTATTGCCATCACAATTTTTTATTACCGTTATAAACTACTAAATGCCTCTCTATGGCTGCTACTACAGTAGTTACAGACGATGCTCGAATGCAACTCACTATAATAATGCTTTGAGTTGGGTTGTTTTCCTACTTTTACCCTTACCTCCACCTTCATATATTACACACATAATATAATATTTTTTATAATATATCACCAATAACAGGGGCGGATCCAGAGATGTCCAAAAAGGGGGGGGGGCAAAAGTTTGGCCGATTGAGACAACACTGTCCTAGGGGTCCAGGAGCATGCTCCCATGAAATTTTTGTGTTCTAGACGCACGAAAATAACATTTGAGGCATTCTGGGCTATTATTTTTTTCTTTTTCTTTCTTTTTTTCTTTTCTTTCTTTTATTTACCTCCCAAAAAGAGGGGGGAGGGAGCTGGGCAGCATCCCCCTCCCCTTAAATCCGCCTCTGAATAATAATACACATACCCTGACTTTTAACAGACTCTGTGTCCGATTCTGGCATAAACTTTGTTAGCTTTGGCAATGCAGCTTTCTGGAAAGAAACACTAAGTTTGTAACATCACACTAATTTCAAAAGAAGTCAACATTATTTAGCAAAGTTATTTCCTGGTCTGATATTAGTGTTTCCAACTTTTTATGTATATGTGCAAAAAAATGTTGCTGTGTACAGTAATGGTATCAAATACTGTACAGCTTTTGTGAATTTGCTAGGCTTTTATGATGAGCACTTGTTAATAAATTGTCATTATTTGTTTGAGTTTCATATGGCTTACATATCTGTTGGCATATTATACATTACAATTAATTTCAACAAAACAAACACATTCATTTCTGTAATTTAGTCTTTCATGGTATTGTTCATTTTATGTTGTGAGCTCACTTGAATTAAAAAAAAAAATTAATAAAAATAATAAAATAAAGGCATGAATGTACAGCAAGCACAGGTTGTGATATAACCCCTGCACCCCCAAAAAAAAATTAAATATGTATCTGATATACAATTTTTCAGGTTTTAGATACTGGTGTTTATTGTATTTAACTGCCTTATATGTTAGATGGTTGTATATCTTATAAATTTTGTATTGCAAAGTTTTGTTTAAACCAGAAAAAACAAAATTAATCAACAATCAATAAAAAATATCTCATTACACTAATCAGATGATTATTAAAAGTAGATGATATTTCTAATGATATAATGATAAGCAATTAATTGCAAAGGGAAAATGCTCAAATTATTGCAAGCAGCAATCTACATGAATTGCACAAAGCTGGTTAAAAGTGTTATTCACAAAAAAATACAGACAATCTTACATTTGATATGCAATTCAAAACAAAATAGATTTAAACATAATGAAATCAATTTCATAAGACATACAAACACACACTTTATAGTCAACATGAAATGAAATTAACACTAAATTACTTGACGGAGCATGCAACAAAATATAATATGTGTTCGGCAGGGTATTTTTAATTGGTAAGACAATTTTGTTTTATGATGATTAGTGAGGGTGGACTCTAAGTTAATGTTATACAGTAAAAACTTGAATAGAAGCCCAATGGGCTTAATCTCAAGAAGAAGCCCATCTCGAACCGAAGTACCCTCTTTAGTTTGCAAAAGTAGCATCGAAAAGAAGCCTATAATATGGGCTTCTTTTCGCGATAGTACAGTACATACACTGTGCATGAATTTAAAAGAAGCAAAATAAATTGGTTTAAAAACAATAGGTGATTTATGCCTGTTAATACACTCCATGAATAGAGACTGATATTTGGCCCTGTTTATTGTTCTATAGTAGTAATTCCAAAATTTACAGTATTCATTTTGAAAAAAAGCCCCATCTCTACTTTACAAAAGTAGCCTCAAAAAGAAGCCTGTCTAGAAAAAAGATGCCAATCTCGAAAAATTGCCCATCTAAAGTTTGCAAAAAAAAGAAGCCCAGGACTTTTATTCGAGGTTTTACGGTATGCTGTGTATTATAAGTTTTTATAACCACTTTGTAAATATTCAAGAATTCCACATATTGTATTCTGTTGGGGTAAAGAAATAATCTGCCAATTGATAAGTGAGATACTGACCTGGATAAACTGACTAATTGTCATTGTTGCATAAAACGAACACTTCACGATAACAATAGAAGGGCATCCAAAAACCCCAGTGAATATATGTCCCAAAGAAAAAGTGGCAATTAGTCAGTTTATCCAGGTAAGAATATACAAAACAGACTTCACCATCCATGACATGACTTTATTAGGTGCATCATGGTTTCTTCCAGGTGAAACAACATATCACCTGAAGATGCCACAATATTGGTGAGAGCAGTGTATAATGACATTACGAAGCCACAGTAATAGAATAAAAACATTTCATAACAGAAAATCCTTAAGAGGACAACATCAGGCCCCCAAAAAAGTGGCCCTCCCCCCTTAATAAGGGTTTCCCCTGAATAGGGGTTGGATGTGGTGTTATACTTCCATTCTTTTTGTGGCCAAAAAAGTATCCCCTGGTGTCCCCTTAATAGGGGTGTCTCAGAAGAAGGGGTTCTACTGTAAACATTAGTTACTGTAGTATCTGTTTGAAAACCAGCAGTAGCAATGAGCAGAAAGCTAGCGAATAACCATTAAATGTTAGTGGATCGATGATGCGGGAAAAAGCTGAGAAAATTAGATTGCTTGATTTCAAGGTAAGTTATGATGATTTGAATTGTGGGGAAGGCTGCTCAGTAGGGTATGAAATACATTGGCTGGAGGAACATGCTAATATTGTTATGAGTTTTTTTTTTATTTGATGATGATTAAACAAAATATGTAATAATAATAATACATTTATAATAATAAAAATTGTAATGATATAATAATTTATTAACGATGTAACAACTTGAATATATCTCATTATATTAATTATAATGCTATAAAAGAGAAGAGAACTAAAAGTCTTGATCATATACAGTAGTCAAAAAATGCAACAGAAAGTCATTTATACAGTAATACAAATAAAAATATAATGACAATTTGCACAGCATGTGCATCAATCAAAACTAATATTCATGGTGCTTTTCAACAACAGTAGGAAAATAATGATGATGATGATGATGATGATGATGATGATGATGATAATTATGACAATAAAGATAATGACAATAAAGATAATGATATGATGACAGTGATTCATTTTATTAGCAATTACTTCTATAAAAGAGTTAAACAAGATTTTTTTTTTAAGACTCAGATATGTGTTTTTTTTACATAGAACAAAATTCAATGGAACTTAGAAATGCTTTAGAGATCTACTTAATTGTTAAAAATGTCTTTGTGTACAATACTATAGTATTTTGTTACAATGTCAAGAGAGCCCCTCTAGCCTACTTGAGAATTGTAATCATTGTTCTTTCTTTCCATGGCCTTGGGGGTGACTCATTTTAACACATTTAAACAAGGTGAGCATAGTGTAATTTTAGCATTCAGTGTTAACAGACAAGAAAACAATAGAGCATGGACCTATTAATAAGTCCTATTAATAGGTCCATGAAGAGAGTAACACTTGACAGATATCAATGCAAACCTCAGAATTAAGATCATTTTGGCTGGAATCTTCCGTTTCCTGCTGAGGGGTAACAAGTTATTTTTGTTTGTATTGTCATTAAAAATAGAAAATAAAAACATATTTCTCTAGGGCCATAATGTGATATTCTTTTCTATAATTTGTGTAATTTAGTGATATTTCAATTTAATATTAAACTTTAAATAGAAAATGGTCTTTTTTAATAAGATATATTAAAAATTGTTTATAAAATCATGTTTAATATGTATTTAAATTAAAATTTCAGGCTAATTAAAATAAAATAATGAAAACTACGTATGAAATGAAATGAAATATGAATAGAAATATTATCACATATACATAGATATCATACCTACTACTATCAAAAAAATTGTAATATAGAATTGTTCCTGTGGTGTGTGTATCTAGGAATATTAAAATTGGGGAATGAGCCTGATGGGGAGCATGGAGGGCTCGATGATTAGGTAAGGGGAAAACTAGTTGGCAAAATGTGGTAATACGAGGTGATTTTTAATTACTTGAGCTTTGAAATTTTCAAGTATGAGAGTGGGGGAGGGGGGGAACTCGGCTTTTTTGGGAAAAGCGTACACCTCCATGCACACCCCTAGATACACCACTGATTGTACCTCCAACTAATATCTCACAATCTCATCCACAGACATTACACCCATCCCAAACCCACATCCATTCAGCAATTTTTGATCTGTAACTTATTTTGTAACTTGTAATCTTACCTTAAGAACTTGTTTGGCAGGTTCCTCAGTTTCTGAGGCCGACACTGCCCACGAATCCTCTCCATTGGACATTCTGCCAAAAAAAAATTAGGTGTAAACCCTTAAAAATCATTCTATAACTGTCAATTACCAAATTTTCTTTGGGAAAAAAAGAAAAAAACAAAAACTGTTGTATGCCCATATATAGTCATGATGTGCCTACAATTATATAGCCATGATGTGATGTCATCATGACCATATTTAGGCATGTCACATGGTTTTGTCATAATAAAATTTGATAGCCTGGACAGCACTTAAAACACTTTTCGAATCCATGTGCATAATAATAATGTAGTGCTATCATAAGTTTCAACTTCACTTAGTCAAGAAATAAAAAAAAATCAGAGCAATTAAGAGTAAAGGCCAAATAAAACTAATTGCTAGTTTCACATTACCCCCACCATCAAGTTTGCTATTTTTCCAAAAAAACATTCATTTTTAAATAGACAATAAATACAATGACTATCTAAAGCTCTATCCACACTATCAAATTTTCTTTGACAAAAAAATGTGACATGCCCATATATAGTAATGCTATGCCTATATATGGTCATGGTGTGATGTCATCATGCCCATATATGGACATATCACACTTTTTTGTCACACAAAATTTGATAGTGTAGACAGAGCTTAAGAAGAGGTGGGAACAAAAATGGCAGAAACAAAGATTCATTTTACTTCTACTATAAAAAAAAAAACTATTTGTACTATGTACCAACCTGTTAACCATTAGTATATAGAATAGTAAAAAGCAAATAGTAAATACCCTCACCCAAAAAATAATTACAAATCCCGGACGTGAAATTAACAATTAATTTTATTTGGCCTAAAAGATGTTTATGTTATTGTACCATGTGACATCTGTAGAAGAAAATTTAGGGTGACCTAAAAATGAAAACGTAAATGCTTTAATATACCATGAAAAAAAACAACTTACTTATCTGCAGAGATTTCATCGTCTTCATCATCTACAAAATAAAATAATGATAATAATAAACAATAAAAATAGTCTCCGAGCATGTGTCTATGCCCGTACTGCCTTACCGTATTATGTTTACTAATAAAGTATCCACATGGGATTCGGTTATCAGGAAACGTGTGGCGTTGTATTTTTTTATGACTTTTGTACAGTAATAAGATGACACATGACCCATCATGCACCTCCACCGGATTTACCCTTTCTGCCATCTTTAATTGCCAGATCATAACATAGTGTCTTTGCCCCTGAGGGTCATAGACACAAAAACCACAATCATATAAAGCCGGACAAACACTGCATCATATGTACAACAATCCTATGCCTGTCGACCAGTCAATCCATCTCCTCTATATGTGAGTACTTGATGACCTAATGCTGTTTGTGGTAGTATGACAACATTATACACACACATACTGTTTATGTCAATAGATCTCGAAATGGGCATGCATAGTTCAAACTACCAAGTGGCCTATCACATCAGCCAAAAACCGTTGCGTGTGCTTGGCTTTAGAGAGAGAGAGCAGTACAGCACGGATAACACGGTTGACCATTTAGGTTAAGTTACTGATGAACAAACACACTGACTGTAACAAAGTACACAGTTAGTTATTTACCTCCATAATCCAATGCAGGTCCACCCAAAGCATAGCCAAAGTTATCCGAATCCACAGTACCTGAGCTGAACATACCAGTGCCTGGACGACTGGTACCACGAGACCGAGGCCTGTTGGATGCCTGGTATTCATCAATGAGATGTGAACAGCTGTAAATAATAGAAATTAAATACAAGATCCTTAAGATGGCTCTTGCCGTCAGGGTGATGTCACAACTGACTTTGACCCCATACTTATGTTTCTATGTTAATATTCAAATGGAAACATCCCAGTATCTGCATTATTGATTGGTTATGTAGCCATGATTTAAATCTACAAACTCGATTACCAGTAGAGGGGTACCTAATGCCAGAATGTGTTAAAGTCATTTCCTGTTACAGTGTATTTCTTATATGGTGGCTCCTTGTGGGCCAAATTTGGCCGGTGTGCAATTGCATTCTGGCCCACCATTAATTTCATCATAAACACTCCCAACACAAAAAGTGGTCATATTCCGATAGTCTTACCCGTGGTAGCCACCCATAATGGCATGGTCATTTGCTGTCCATCCTTTGTGATCTTTGATGTCAGTGCTGGCCTTGTGGTCAAGAAATAACCTCACCATACCTATCTGATCTGTTAGACAAGCCAACATCAAACCAGTTCTACACATTTAATGGAGAAAAAAGTAGACTATATTGTTTAAAGCACTTAAAATAAAATTTGAATAATCAATACCTATATACAATATTAAATAATTAATAATTTTATGAGAAAGACATTATTTAATATTAAACACATTATTCAAGTTATTATTTATAAATATAATTATAGATATAAAAATATTAATTATAAATATGTATATAAATAAATAAAATTATAAATATATAAATATGAATTATTTAAAATATTTAATTTACTTATTCTTCTTAATATTTATCAATGTACACTTTCTCTTTAATCACGTTGTTTAAAATTTAGATTACAATATCATTAATCTTAACATCTTCATTTTTCTTCACAATTGAATACAAACGAATCAATAATCATATCATATAAAAATAACACATTCCATATATCATTTATCATTTTTGTCATTGATTAAAATAAATTTTATATCAATCATCATCAAAATGTTATCATTTCAGCACCTGTTCTGATTGTCGACAGCGTTCACATCTGCATTTCGATGGAGCAATAGTTCAACCACCTCGTCATGTTTTTCATTTGTAGCAAGATGAAGGGGTGACCTGCCATCCTAAAAAGGAAATAAAAATGATTCTTTAATGATATATCCAGGTGTTAAACTAATCACCTTGAAAATAAACTTAATATCAATTTAAGTTATTATTAGCTTTTAATTGAAAGTGCGATAAAATATTATGTAATAAATGTAAAACCCTTAGAATATTCATTAAGTAGATCTAGAAGTTTGGTTATCACTTCAAAGATTGTCATAGTTAAAATCTGTAAACCAGAAAAAAACTGACTTGACATGATCTGTGTTTCATTGTAAATTATTAGTTAGAGAGCAGCTTAGCTCAGTCGGCTAATCTGGTGGTAGCCAAGTGTGTGTGCACTGAACCATGGAGACCTCTAGGTCCCCGGTTCAATTCCCATCACTGCCTCTCCTTATGTTTCAGCTAGAGGGCTGAAATACAAGTTACAATAGCATACCGTCTTTCGGATGAGACGTTTAAGCCGTTGGTCCCGTGTGCATTTATGGCCCATGTGCACGTTAAAGAGCGCAGTACACTCTTCGGAAAAGAGTAGAAGATTGTCTCCCGGTGTATTGCCCAATCACTACCAGAAGGACCCCACTGGAAATAAGTCTTCTTCTAGACTTTCATGGGCTATCCTTGGTGTTTACACCAAATAGATTCATGTCATGCCATATTACTTTCTATCCCCCTAATACACAGTTCGATTAGGGTGGATATGCAGGTTAAGATGTATACCATTGTATGATTTGTCATTTTAACTGTGCTTTGTTCTGCAAATATTGGCCATAATCTAAGAAATTGAATTAAAATTTAAACCTTTTCTTTTCAATGGTTTAATTTTCAGAAATTAACTAGATTTTCCCAAAGACAGTAAATCTTTAGAAGAAGATATATTTTTAAAATTCACATGATTTACAAAAAAGTACATCAAAATTACTTTATACTGATTATTCAATAATAAAATCAATTCCTGATGAAATTCTGACCTTATTTGATGCATTACTAAGGGCTCCGCTATCCAGTAATAGAGCTGCAATGCTCACACTGCCGGCTTTGCTAGCCAGATGGAGGGCGGTGTTACTGTCCTTGTCAACAAGATTAGGATCAGCTTTGTGTTTCAGTAGAATAACAACAATATCTTCGCAATCAGCTTGGACAGCCTGTTAAAAAAATACACAATAAAAAAAAATGTATAGTAATAACTGTGGAGAAGATGATTTGGAAAGGGTCTATTTGTACTTAATTGAGCCTTGGGGGAGAATTCTAGTCATGTTGAGGTTTGATTGAAGTTTGAAATATCTGATTTTGGAGTTTTTGCGTATAGTATGCAAAACCTCCGAAATCGGATGATTGATTAAAAGCTTTGCTCTCTCTCTCTCTATACATATAGAGAGAGAGCTTGTTTAATGGTACGCAGAAACTCTGAAATCGGAGGTTTGAATAAAAGTTTGAAAACTCCGATTTCGGAGTTTAGGTGAATAGTACGCAAAAACTCAGAAATCGGAGGGTTGATTAAAAATTTGCTCTCTCTGTATAGAGACACCTTGTTTAATAAATAATACGCAAAAAATCCGAAATCAGGATGTTTGTTTAAAAGTTTGAAAACTACAATTTTTTAGCAGATGTGAACACATGGTTGTCCTGCAATGTAAGTATTCAAAACAAATTTTGCTATTCTGTCCAGTAAAAAAAATCACATGCACAAGCAATGGACTTTTCTGGAGTGCCAATCAAACTTAACAACTGACCAATCGGAACAATGCCAGAAATATGTGTGTCCTACAAACACACATGTTGTCCCACGAACGCACATGTTTATATATATTATAGAGTAATACAGTGTTACGCCACGATACTATGTGATACTATTCCATTGCTATCGTTGCAAAATGCATTCAACAGGATGCCATTTTCTCCACTGACAAACCATTGCTCCCAATTTATAACGTAATTATTAAGATGTTGTATCTTACTTTTTCTCTGTAAATTGTAATTGATGATTAAATGTGTGTTCAATAACAAATATAATGCGAGCTTTTGGGTTTTTAGTACATTTTGATGGTAAAATATTAGATTTTAAAATGCCTATTCCAGAAAGCCTATGAAGTCATTCCGGCGATGCGAATGGTAACCAATGTCTGTTGACCACAGAGAGCACCAACTGGCGTCGTGACGACACGACTGTGGTACTCTATGTTATCTTTTGCGGGACCTTAGCAACAGTATCCAAGGGGCGGGTCCATTAAGTATAGAAACAGTAAATTTTATCACTATGCATTGTGTATACATCTGTCATCATTTTATCAATGTCATTATACACAATGATGGCTATAGTCATACCTTCATCAAAGGTGACCTGTTATGATTGTCACACAAATTTAGCTTCGCTTTATTTGACATCAAATGCGCCACAACATCCTTATGACCTTGACTACAAGCTAGATGCAGTGGAGTTCTGGGAAAAAAATAAAAACATAAATCATGTAATTATTGATATTTCTTTGTGATAAAACCATTTATTTTTCACTTTTGATCTGGTCACATCAGTTCCGATCATCAGGCACTGACTTGCATTTTAGTTTTATAAGCATTGAACAAATGGCTGGTGTTATAATGTGTCATGAATACCTACTTGACATATTTCCGAGCGGTATAGAAATGACTAGGAATCCCTCTTTAACATATAAAATATAAACACAGCTCATAATGTTGTAACACAACTCAAAACAAACTTTTATTCTGTATGAACTCCAACAAGAATCTGGTCTCAAAACAACACAATAACATTCACATAAACATGTGTTTCAAAAAGAGCTCCAGAAAGATAAAACCATCAGCTTATATAACCTAGCTGTACAACTCCAGAGCATTTTATATTGCCTAAGATCCCCATTGGTTACATTACATCATAATTAACCAATTAGGCTTATTTGCCTCTAAAGTACCCAAGAAGCTTTCAAATATTACTCTTTGATTTTACATGGTGTCATGTGTTCGTATAATTACAAATGTGGTTTACACTGTTTATTTGGTCAACTAAATGTTATTCTAGAATGTTCTATGTATTAAATATGTTAAAGTAAGGCAAGGAATGGTAATTTATTACAAATGTAATTTGAATAATCAATAAAATAATAATTTAATATGGATCCATAAATGCATACAAGCGCCGGGGCGATTATAACATCTTTGGAGGCTTCAGTGCAACACTTTGCACGCACCTATCTCACATATTTCCGTAGTTCAGTGGCCTATCATAGATCCTACGTCATCAAAGATTCTAAAGAAATGCTTGCGTCTTCATTGCTATTTATTCATTTTAACACTGTTTAAAATGTATTTAAAACCCTGTTTCTCAAAGTGTTTAGTTACGCACACAAACGCGGTAATATATACTCTTGATTACAGTAAGCGTCACGGTACTTATTCGAGAGCGTGCTCAGCGAAAATAAAACAGGATTGGTGCGGCGCTTATTTGAGAGTGGCACGTATTCAAGAATTTACGGTACACCATGTCATAATGCAGGGGTACGGTGGGTAAACATAAAAATGGGTTGGAGGGCCTTTCTCGTTGCAGATGTCCACAAAGTTAATGACAGGAATATAACATCACGATTAAAAACATAATTCATTAATAAAGGACAGAGAAAAGGTACATAGTCATAAGTACATTTTTTATTCATACAATTACATTATTATATCATAATTACCCAGTATTGCCAATACCTACCAGTTAGTTCCTACCCAGTGTCATACTATAAAGACAGTACAATCTTAGTCTAGGCCTAAGCCTAGGCCTAGTAGTATACTACTATTTATTACTACTACCTATTTCCATCAACATTCATAAATAAAAAAATATTTTTAACAAATTATAATCAAATTCATTTTAATGATTTTTCATGTATATATTGCAGGGAAATAATTATAGTATTATATCAACTCCATTGATTATTAATAACATACTCTTCAAAATGGGTTTCCTTCAGTAAACATTGTTGACATGCATCATTATCTAGTAATTTAGTTGATTCATTTATACAAGAACGCACCTATTTTCCTTGTCTAATTGATTGTAGTCGGCTGCCTTCTTTGCCAGCTGCTTCACCTTGTTTACATCTCCCAGCCAAGCGGCCTTGTGTAACTTCGGTAAATCCTTTTCTTTAACGTCATATCCTCCATTTTCTGCATTATTAGTGGCACCAAGGCTAGAAGAACTTGCCGACTTTTTAGAACTTTTTGATTTAAATATTTTCTTCATTTTGGAGCATTATAATTTTCGTTAAACAATCGATAATTTTCGTCAGTGCCTCACCTAAACTTTCAAACAGCGTCCCTGGCGATCTTCCGTAGCTTCCGATTTCATTCCAATAAGTTTGTTTAAAAATTCCAATTTATTTCCTCAAAAATACAAATATGAGTTATAGAGGGCGACATACTATAAAGTTAGAGGCACTCATGCGAAAAAGAAAACAAAAACACATGCTACTTCCAGCTCTGTGTTCTTCTTGTTCTACCTACAGAACAATATTGATTCGTAAAGTAGGTTAGTTTCATATAATATCTATAATTATAGCTAAATCTTCTTCATTTTTAGGACCTACTTAAATATTTGAAAGCATCGACCCTGATCTCAATTTTAAGCCTAAAATAGGCTAGGCTAGGCCTACCTTAATAAGCTTCTCTGCATATGGCTGGCTTGACACGGGAACGCGCAACCAGGCCCCATTCTGGCGTACAGATACCACACTGGTGTGCCAAACTAGTCTAGGCCTAGGTAAAACTATTTAATGCACTTTCGCATCCAGCTTCTAACAAAATTGTCAAACTGCTTAAAACATATTTGGTCCTCTTGAAGTTTATTAACTGTTAATTAAGGATGATAAAATGTTTTACATATTTATTATATATAAAATATCCATTTAATTTTGGAAAATATGGTTTTCTAATGAATCAATCAGCCCTCCCAGACAGCGGCGGCGCCAGTGGTAGGGAGGGGGGCCCCATCGGCCAAATCTCGTCGGGCAGTTGTACCAAAAAAAAAAAAAAAATAGGCCTAGTTTTCCCATCCCAGCCATTTCCAGCCATCTAGGACGTCCTAATTTTTTTTTTTAATCTCGTTTTGGGAGGAGGGGACACTTCCCTCCCATATCCACCCCGGCTCGGGCCTTTGGCCCTCGGCCTTCGGCCCTCAGATAACGCTGCGCGTTATAGTTACACCCATAATACTTAGCCCCCCACCCACTCGGACATCTTAGCCTCCCCCCTAAAATTATATCCTAGAGCCACCACTGCTCCCAGACTGTATAGTAAGGGCTGCACGGAGAATATATCCTCCTATATGTTGCCAAAAAATTAGGCTTTGACGTAATCTTAATATTTAACCAATGCAATTATGCAGCAATTAGGATTCCGCGCACCTATTTTACTAGCGATTTTCCATGCAAATTTGAGCTGATTTTTTAGGTATTCTCCTTGCAATTAAAATTAAGTTTCCTTAGAATTACAGAGACATTATATTTTTTTCCATGTTAGCCTACACACAGTGGTGGTGCCAGGATTTGCCCGATGGGGGGGTCCAAGGTCCCAGACGAAAAAAAGTTGGTGCGGTCGGGTGTCGCTCAAAATCCCTTGAAAGTGTTCCAGGGTGCCAAGGCCCTGAAAAATAGGACAATTTAGGGATTTTAAAGATTTGGTTCTCCCCTGCCTACACATTCTGTGTAGATATACTACCAGCATTTGACTTACTATTGAGTGAAATCAGGTTTTTTCAGATGCAGTATAATGTCGCAGACTACTTCATCAAACTTACCGAAGAGTAACCTGGTTGCCGTTTGTCAGATGACTTCAACTGATGACAAAGAAACCAACTTTAAGACTTGCGATGATCTGATTCACAGAGCTGCAGAAATGGGTGCTAAGGTAAGACTTACCGCATCCTATAAGATAAATTAACCTTCCTACAACTATTTGATCACACCTTCATGTACAGATCCATATTAAAGTTGTATACTACATCAATGAGTACAGAGACGTAAGCGCACCACCACCATGATGCAGAAATATTTAGGAGGCTTGCTTTATGACAGTAAAATAACACTGTGTATCGGCATGTTGACCTTTCTAGTTATTATAAACACAAGGCCAGTCGCATACGGTACCCATTATCTGTTTTATATATCATGAAATAGTGGGGAGCCGTATTAGTCTGAACTATATAAACAGTAAAGAGACAAGCAGCACTTTTAAGCCTACCAAATATTTTATAAGCTTTCATTCATGTAATGGAGGATGGATACTCTAAACAAACTAATAGTATGACTGGGGTGGATGCAGTTGGTGCGATCACAACTCCTCCATCGCCCCAGTTTGACCATACAAAACAATATTACTGGAATAGTTTTGAATATGCATAGCAGCTTTATGATCTTTAACCAGCATTATTATCATCTTCTACCGTCAACTTTTCGACCAAATACAATGAATTAATAGTTTCACGTTCCCGTCCTCATCAAATTTTGGAACTTCATGAAAAAAATTTACTATTAGCTATTTATAAAAAATTTATTTTATTTGGCCTTAAGGTGATTTACTATTTTTTGATTGGGTCACAAATAGAGTGATGGGTTTCAGTGAGAGGTTTCATGATTTGTGGCAATTTAAAGTTCATTTTAATATGCTTGGTGGTCTTTATAAATTATGATAGCAGGTACATATCTGAGTGGAGTTACTTGCAAACAATCCCGACTATATTCAGCATCCTCGAAAAGAACAAAACTGCAAAAGCAAAATAACTTTGGATCATTCCATTCTTGTAATAGGTGACATTTTTGCCAGAATGTTGTGATTATGTGGGTAATAACAGTGCAGAATCGGTAGATATGGCGATATCCCTAGACGGAAAACTTGTTTCCAGGTTCAAAAATTTAGCCAAAAAATGTAGCATGTGGCTTTCTTTGGGTGGAATTCATCTAAAGGTAAGTGAATAATTGTGTTATACTATATAGGGTATGTTTATGCATTGCTTACTTCATGTATTTATTAGAGAAAACATTTAATAGCAAAAAAACAAAACAAGAAAAACTGTAAATAGCCATTTAAGCACTGCAGTACTTATACAAAGTTTTTTAATCTTCAGTGCAGTACATATTTTCAGGGAAACGCTTATTCGAGAGTATTATTTGAGAGGGACGCTTATTATACAGGCGCTTCGGAAGCAATTTTTATTGGTCCAGCCAGATGCGACGATGCCCACCCACCCAACCACATCACATTGGTCCGTGATGGGGGAGGGGTCCAGATGGAAAACTATGTCCTTTTACAGGGCATTGTTTTCTTTGCCGGTATTACGCAAGAAAACATTACATTTACAGAGAAGATATTTCTACCAGTAAGGGGCCCAGACAAGCTTTTAGGTTTGACAAATCATGCAGAAAAATAGATTTTTTCAAGGTTTCTTTATTGCAGTTTTGCAGTCTCTCCAGAGACTTCCATATCACTGATCATCGTAAACTGATCATTGTGAGTATTTTGACAGATTATGATGGTCTGTAATTAACGAGATGCTTCTTCGTTAGTACATGAGTAGTAGGCCTACAAGATTTGTGCAATATTTAAAACAATGTCTATGTTTATATACAAAAGTACAATTTTGGCTTACAAAAGATATTGAGTATTATTTGTCAGTCAGACCACTTCCGGCGCCCTTGTTATACTCTGGCATTAACATTTTTTTTTTTAATGACAGGAAGTTAGTGAAAAAAATCGCATCAGCAATGCACATGTTATGATTAATAGCAATGGTGAGATTGCTGCAGTCTACAAGAAAACTCACTTGTTTGATGTTAATATACCCAAAGTTGTAACGCTCATGGAAACGGGCTATACCATTCCAGGACAAGGGATGGTTGAACCAGTTGTGACACCAGTTGGAAATGTTGGCTTGGCAGTTGTATCCTTCCATAAGTTACATATTAGAGGCACTCCTAGTACTGAATGTAATGTACTACTACCGTATTGAATGCTCTTTGATCTAGGTCTCAATATCATTAATTTTGGAGCTAAAATTTACCAGGAATTATCTGACTGGATACATGTTTTATTGAACATATTTTTCAGTTTATTTTTTTTTTACCTTTAAAATACATGGTACACAAAACAAAAAAAGAGTGTCTTTAAGACTGGGCACTCACACTGCCCCCGATGGTCATCGGCCGACGCGATTCTATGAGAATGTAACGCCATGACTTGCACGCAACAGATTGTTTGTTAATGATATGTTCAGACTGCCCTGACAATCTGCAGACGACGTCATTTAGTGTTCACATGCAGCACAGTTGGAGTCGAGTGCAGGAGGCTGTCCCGATTACCAGAAGACTCCTGTGACTTCCGGCAGACTTGGGACCCATCGCCCTGGGCTCCAGCCCCACACATACAGTTACTGGACCAGTAAGCCTCTGAATTCCCATTTGCTCCTGGCCACTAATTCACAATCTTTACAATTGTGACGTTAGTTTTTTTTTCCTTAGTGGGGCCTTATCAGTGCTATGACGTGCGTTTCCCAGAGCTCTCTATTGCTTTGGCTGAAAAAGGTGCTGATATACTAACATATCCATCAGCATTTACACAGACTACAGGAATGGCACACTGGGAGGTTAGTAAGAAAACACATAAAAATTAGGAGTGACTTTAAAGCAAGTCTCAAAAAACCATATACAATACTTCTTAGTACTGTTAACTTGAATGTATTGCTAGTTATATTACATATTTTAACATGTCATTCACTATACAGGTATTTAATTGTATTTTCTCTATTTATCTGCATTTGTTTTAGGTGTTAAATATGTTTCATTAATTTTTTTTCAGGTTCTTCTTCGGAGTCGTGCCATTGAAAATCAGTGCTATGTAGTGGCTGCTGCCCAGACTGGGAAGCATAATGATAAAAGAACATCCTATGGCCATGCCATGGTAAGCTAAGTACCTTAATATAAATAATTTCCGAGATAATTTGCCTTGATATTTTTTATGATTGGGATATTATTGAGCACCTGATTGTAAACAAGTCGTCAGACTTGTCTGGTGTGCACACCGAATAAACCCAAATCCACAGATTAAAGGCCTGTTTATACTTCAACGATAACAATAATGATAAAAAAAGCCAAAAAGCGATTGTTCATATAGAAAATAAAAGAGAATTTTTTACACTAGGACGATTTGATAACGATTTATCGTGTATATGATAACAAAATATTTTAACAAATCAAATCAGATGACATCATAATCATGGAAAAACGATAAAGTCGTTGCCAATACTATAATTTTAATGTTTTTCCATGGTTATGACGTCATCTGATTTGATTTGTCAAAATATATTATCAAATCGTTCTAGTGTAAAAACTTCTTATTTCTTTTATTTTCTATATGAACAATTGCTTTTTAGATTTTTTATCGTTATCGTTGAAGTATAAACAGGCATTAAGTAATATTAACTAGGTCACAACTCCAAATGTATTTCATTGGTAATAACATGCAGAACAAATGTATACAATTCTTATTATGATACTTTTGTAAATTCCAGATAGTAGATCCATGGGGAACAGTCCTGGCATGCTGCCGTGAAGGCACCGATGTGTGTGTAGCAAATATTGACCTCAATTACCTCCAGAGTGTAAGGCAAAGGATGCCAATTTGGAATCATAGACGGCACGATATCTATGGACATGTTTTGTTCAACGATGGAAAATGATCAACTGCAGATGCTAGGAGTTTTGAAGACAGATCCGTTTTCCCGATTAATAAATACATTTTCATTTTATATAACACACATTACAAATTTACTAAACTATTTAAGGGAAATCATCAAATAAAATATTAATTTTTGGAAAATGATCAACAGATTTGTTTTCCAATGAATAATTTTATAACACATTAGGGGAATGTGGTAAATTATCGAACAAAATATTAATTGAAGAATCTATTGGACATGAAGGACTTCCATATATAATTTGAGGAAAGCATTTTTAGCTTCAATGAGGAGCTCTAGAAACACTCAGCTGATTGATTAATAGATCTTTTTTTTAGCTCTACTGCCTCTATTATACTGCCCTCATGAGGCTGATTGATTAATAGTTGATTAATAGATCGTTTTTAGACCTACTGCCTCTATTATACTATCTTCATTGGAGATTACGAAAACTTGTTTGGTAACATTGCTTTACAACAGCAAATTTAATTGTCTCAAACTTAGCTGATGCTAAAGAATGTGTTTATAAAGCTCATTACAAAGTTATTCAAGTATAACATGGTCTTCCTACTTTTCATATTTTTGAGATTTTGTAAAATTATTGTACATGTGCACATAATATTAGCAGATGAGGTGTATTTATATATATATGGAATAGAATATTAAAATAAAAATCAAGCAAAATGTTTTCTTCTTTTTTTTTTTAATAACAAAATCTCTTTATTTACATATCAAAATTGTATTAGCCTGTATCAACACTTGATAGATTTTTTTCCAACCATATTTATAGAGGGTGACCCTTCGAACATATCCTAGAAGGTCAGCTGATGTCAGGGGCCTTCTTAAATAAATGAAATAAAGTGATGCTTTATCAGCTGAGGCTCAAGGGAGTGGAGATGTTTTTTTCAGTCATTAGAAAAAATCCTGTACTGTCTCAGAATATGAACCCTGAGATTGGAAGGCAAGTATGTCAACCACCAGCTACATCACCACTACAATAGACAGCTCTATTTCCAAAACAATATTCAGTATTGTTAATAAATAGTTTTACACATTTTCGTAATTGATACACATATACTCATATGAGAAGAAATGTGAATCCATAGGTGTATCCATTATCAGAATACATATGACAGGAGAATGTTTGATGTTGCAAAATTTTGGTTTTGTCGCTCTTTTCTTATTTCAGCTTCATTTAACTAGTAGTTGGATTATTTAATCTGAAAAAGTAAAAAAAAAATCCAAATTATATTATCAAACTAATGAATCATGTTGGTGACAAAAGTCCAAAGTTGACAAGAAAATCTTGATAACTTACTGTGTATTTATCCCATTTCTTTTCTGGGTCATATATTTCCCATCGACTTGCGGGAAATATATGCTTGTTTCGTTCATACCAGCTTCTTAAAACGACTTTACCAGCATGAGACTGAGAAGAATATAGGGAAAAAAAATTGTTACACATAACACAAAAATATTTGACAGGTTTAGACAATCAGGGTGGGAGAAGCTGTAGCTAATTTTGATTAGATGACTAAAAGCTTCATTAAGGCTAACAATGTTAAAACTCCTTATCTAGCGGGTAACTTCAGACTAGAAGACTGCCTTAACTGCTTAGTGTTGCTTCTTACTACTGAGCAAACATACACTATCTGACTATTTTGTTTTTGTTAATTACATAGTGACTTTAGGTTATGAAGACCTTTGTCCTCTCTGGTTATTGGGTTCAGAAGATTAAGTTTTGCTGCCATATTATTGGCACAGTAGCAGGCAACCCCACCAGGTATCCAATTATACTCCTGGGTGGAGAGAAGCAATGCAGCAAAGTGCCTTGCTCAAGGACACAAGCAAAGGTCATAACAAGGGATTGAAACTCGACCTTGAGTTTGGGAAGCCAAATTGTGCCAAACTGCTTTCACAAAATCTGTTTTGGTCAAGTATGACTGAAACTAGCATGCACTATCTGTTTAGTATGACCACTGAAGAAAAAACTTAAACTTAATATTTAGCTCAGTACCAATAGTATTTTGCTTAGACTTGTTCGGGGGTGAACTTTACCTGAAGTTAATACTATAAAACAATGATACCATGTAAATGCACATACCTCATCTTTTTCAACTCTGGAATCTGACACCAATCGTATATCCTCATGAACATCAAAATTAAATAGTGGACCTGAAAGACAAATTTAAAATAAATAATAGGGCTAAGCATGGGAAGGAAATTTCAGATCACAAGTGACCTAGTGCAAATTCTGTTAACGCTGATTGAATGATGTTAATGAATAAAAAGAATGAAAAAGAAAATTTTGATCATATTACTGATCTTACAACATACCACTTTTTCCTCTTGCTTTTGTCACGATGAAATCATAAAATGTTGCATGCTGAAATAAAACAATAAATATCACTTATATATTTCACATTTAACAGCAATAAATAATTCATGATGTGATGTCGTCATGACCATTATTTAGGCAAATAAACTTGATAGACAGGGCTTAGGCTTATTAGGTTTATTCACTAGACTTTCTTGACATGGAAATGTGGCAATATTTGAGATAGCTTACATGTGGTAGAATCAAGTCTTCTTTTACATACATCAATGCCTCAACTGTACAAGCTCTAAAAGAAATTAAATGGAACAAAAAGAAATTAAATAACACAAAAACAACACAATTATATATTAATTTGTAATTAAATAAACTCCCCAAATTTGCTTTAAAAAAAATGCAAAGTGTCACAGATTTCAGGACCGCAATTGAGCCACTGCAGTTTCCTGTATAATTTTTTCAAATTTTATTTTCCTTAAACAAGTACGATGATCCTCAGAGAGGTCTGTACTCGCCAAATAAGAAGATATTGAAAAGAGTTTAAAGTGATAAAAAATTCTTACCTCAATTCACTAAATTCTTTCTTCAGATTTTCTAGGCATTTCATTAAGAATCTTTGCATGGTGTCACCTTTTTTCATCTAGAAAAAAAAAAAATGTTTCAAAAATAAAATATCGTAACTCCTTGAATAAGCGTCGCTGTGCTTATAAAATTTTGGAGGCTTCAGTGCGGCGCTCAATTTGGTAAGTCTATCTTTGGCCCTACATCACCGTAAATAAACGTTTATAAAGATATGTTTGTGTCTTCATTGTGTTATTCATTTGAACACTGTATACAGTAGAAAACCTTATTTACATACGGGACGGTATGAGAGGCGATCGTAAAAATCATTCTTACGTAAAATCGGGCATGCGTGAAATTCCTATATAGGCTTGGCTAGGTTAGGCCTGGACTGCAATTTTGTTGGATCGGGAGACAAAACACTGATTTGCGCTCAAAAGAAATTCAAAATAATGATCGTAATAATGTACATACTTGTCAATGTGTATACAAACTTTTTTTCTCACTTTCTCAGGCAATAATATATAATTTATCTTCTAGCCTACAAAAGAACGCTGCCCCATGGGCGCTGCAACAGGGTAGGTAACGCCACAGCGCTTTTCACTCGATCCATGTACTGTGTGGTGTCAAGTAAAAAATACCCTGGAAACCAGGGGTTCACAACTTATTTTTAAACGGGGGGGGGGGGGGGGGGGCAACAACATCTTCAGAATTAAATAGATAAGCAAGTGCACTTATTTTAATACACTACGCATTGAAATTTAAAAATTTAGTGGCAAAACGGGGGCACATGCTTCCCCTATTGGATCCGCGTCTGTATGTATTGTTTAAGGAAGCAAGTGTGGCCATGTTTGAATGCTGTCTATATAAAATAATATGAAATTGGATAAAACATTATGGTTACCTTTGTTTGCCTCCGATGTCCAGATCCATCCCAATAGCTGTATGTGATCTCAATTTCTTCCTCTAAAAAATAATAAATCAACAGTTCAATAAATAAGAACTATATAATCAGGAATAGAGATGGTTGGTGGTTAAGGTGCTCATCTTCTAACCTCTGGGTTGTGAGTTCAAATCTGATAAAAAGACATGGATTTTTTTACAATTTAAAATAAACCTAATTCTCTAATTAGACCTAGTTTGCAGGGCATCTATTAAACACAAGTTGTTTCATTTCCAATTGGTGAGTACACTTGCTAGAAGTGAAATCATCATCATCTGCTCGCTTAATCATCGTCTGTAGACAATAGCATTTACACCCTCATTGATCAGATTCCACCCGTTCCTATCTGTGGCCAGCTCCCTAACTTGTATCAGCTGTCTCCATATTAAAGTTTTAGATCTATTGTATCCATGTACCTTTTGGTCTGTCTCTGGGTCTTTTTACTTTTTTAAGTAAGTATAAATATTATCAACCTACCTTAGTTTTTTTGACATTGATATAAGAGCAAGAGGTATGATCCGTGAGTTAAAAAGATATTGTATACATTTTAGCATTAACTTACGCTTTATCTTCTCCTGCTTGGTTTCCCATTCCTGCCGCAATTCCTCTCGCAATTTGTTCTCCTCTTCCTGGAAAATACAAATATACAATTGAATTAGAATTATTGAATAGAAATTTGGGAAAGGGAGAGTGTGTGAAAACTTGGAGTGTGAGCAGCTACTGTAGTGTTCATGTGCATATCTGTGGTATTTATTTATGGATGTTTATATATATATTGCACAGTTACCTCTCGATCTCGGTCAGGTAGAAAACTTGTGTCTACATCCGGATTTTTCCCTACACCTTTTTTCTTCACTTCAACTGAAAGTGAAACAAAGAATGATGTGAAACATAGTCAGAAATATAAAATCTGGATAGTTGCTTGGGTTTGTTGGGGTCAGTGGCGTATCTAGAAGTCTTGAAAGTGGGCCTGATGGGGGCACGAAGATGAAGTGGGGGAGCGGCTCAATGATTAGTGGGGGGCTCGATGATCAGTTCGCAAAATAAGGTGATTTTAGGTAATTTTTAACTACTTGACTGTGATTTGGGGGGGGCGACTGGGGGACACAAGTAATTTTGGGAGGGGGAGGCGCGTGCACAAATTCTGTTGAATAATACCACTAAGGACAGTCAATGAGAGACAGAGATATGGTGGTAACATTGTGAGAGAGCCTAGAATGATGGTACTTTTAGCAAAATATTTTTCTGTCAGATTTTTGTTTGTAAGACTCAACAATTTTTATCAGACATTTATGAAATAGTATATCGTCCAAATTCTAACAACCAGGGACATGATGGGTTTGAACAGATATATCAGGAACAAGCATACATTATTAAGCCCTGTCCTCACTATCAAATGTGACATGCCTAAATATGGTCATGATGACATCACATTATGACCATATATAGGCACATCATACTATACTGTATATTGGCATACAACAGTTTTTTGTCAAAGAAAATTTAATAGTCTGGACAGGGTTTGATCATTGTCATTTGAATTTGACACTATATTACCGTATGCAATGAATGTTTATAACTGCAATGGGAAGAATATTTTCATGAGTTTAATGGAACACTCAATCTTTCAACAAATGAAAATATTCTTTCCATTACGCGAATAAAAAACATTCATTAGTTTATAACACACTTAAAATAGATTCTTGTCATTTGATATTTTAAGAAAAAAAATCTACCTTATTTCTGAATAGAACAGTACAACATCTTTTTAACTAATGAAAAGATTGTATTAGGTTGAGGCATGCAATGGAGCGAAATGGACAGAACAAAAAATGCCCAGTGGACCTAAATTTCCATGATGAGACACAAAATTCACCAATCAAATGACAAGGATCTATTTAGGTGTGTTATAATATCTGATGGTGTATGTACACAGTTAGATATTACTCACATTCTTCATGATCTTCATCCTCCTCTTCATCATCCATTGCGAATGACAATGTCACGTTACCTTTTGTCTTTGACTTATGCTTTTTCTTATCCTTCTTACTGCTGTCTCCAAACCTGCAAAGGATAAGTTCTAATTATTAAAATTTATTTACAGTAATTTAAGATTGAGACTGCTATTCGTAAGCCAATCACGATGTTATTATTTTACCGCAGATATAACCTTCCTAGCCTCGAGCGGTCACTGATTAGTTACAAAGAGGTTGATATGTGCAAAAAGCTGAAACAAAAGCTACAAAAGTATGACACCACAAAGAGAGAGCATTTTTTCTCTTGGTCCCCTTTTCAATTCCCATCGTTGCTCTCCTTGTATTTCAGCTAGAGGCCTGAATGCAAGTTACGATAGCGCAATGTCTTTGAGATGAGACGTTTAATCTGTTGGTCCCGTGTACATTATGGCCCATGTGCACACGCAGTACACTCTTCGCAAAAGTGTAGGGGATTGTGTCCCGGTGTACTGCAAAAGGACACTACTGGAAATAAGTCTTCTTCAGACTTTTGTGGGTTATCCTTGGTACCGAATAAATCTATCCCAAAGAGTATTGTCACTACTAGGTGATCTATCCCAAAGAGTATTGTCACTACTAGGTGATCTATCCCAAAGAGTATTGTCACTACTAGGTGGTCCCTCTAAATGCATTATTCATCCGATATTACAATTTGGTATATCTGAATACCAGATCCTATCAGATACAGTACCCATTTATAAATGCTTAAATGAAGACAGAAAAGATAATATTCCTTCAGTGCCTATCATTTACATAATATTTTCATACTGTACTAACTTCTTGGGTTCTGCTTTAGCAAGTTCTTTCTCTCGTTCCTTGATGAGGTCTTCTCGTTTAGCTTTCATTTCATCTAGGGTCACTAAACCTGTTAATTTATACAAAATATTTTAAAAGTGTTAAAATATCACTGTAACATCGCTAAACATTAAAAGCGGTGCAAACAAAATACTATGAATTTTGTTTGCACCGCTTTTAACGTTTAGCGACGTTACAATCACTAAATAAATAAAAAGAAAAAAAAAATAAATATATAAATAAATAAATTTAAATATGTTAGTGTACTACACAAACAATTACAATAGTTTTCTTAACTTGTAATATAAATCAGGGGCAAATGTTAAGGAAGTATTATACACAATGTAATAATTATCCCTAAAAAGTGTTTCCACCAAAGCAATTAGCATAAAACACTATATTGACAAATAAGTTTATATAAACTTAAAAAACATAACATCAACCTTATTTTAAATGTCTATATATTATATATATTTCAGTATTTTTATAGTTTAGGCCCTATACTAAGATTATTTAATTGGTTAAATGGGGTTTGGAGAGCCACTTAAAACTTCAAGATTACCCAGTCTTTAAGAATGATGATGATAATTCATTTTTTTACACTTTCAATGTTCATGTTCAAACTTTAACTCACCTACAGTGCTACACTTAAGCTGTTGCTCCACTGCGTCGTAGTGAGATGAAAATTTTGTCCCAATAGACGCAAATTTAACATCCTGTAAATAAAAAAACTGATAATACTCTACATGCACTACAAAGAAGCATACACATCATGGAATTTTTTCTTTTTTAATCTCTGTTTACAAGCAGGATGATTTAACTTCTTGATTGGTGTAATGACTCAGTCAAAGTTGAAATTGTCTAGGGGCCTACAGTGCATAAACATGTTTACCTACATTATTATTAGGCTTAGGCCTAGGGGTCTAGACCTAATATAAAAACATACACACAGTGTCACGGCCAGAAAGAATATTTTTTTGTATTTCTAAAGAAATAGGCCTAGGCTAGTTCCATTTTTTCTTTAGCTCTTTACAACATCCTGTCCCAGTATTGATAGATGTATAGAATAATACATTACAGTATACAAATTTGATTGCGTATTAAACCTCATTTATCCTAGTAGGTCTAGGCCCTAGGCCAAGTTCAATTAGCCAAGCTCCATTTCATCCACACCGCCAGATGAGCTTTTTCTAGTATCGTGCGATAGCGCACCTACCCTACTACAGTCTACGGTGGCCTAGCCCAGAAAATAGAAATATCAAGAAAAATGCTTTAATTACACTCTCAATCTTTTGTTTCTTCTTTTCAATCTCTTCTTTCTGCTTCTCTCTCCTCTTCATAAGCTGTCTTACTCGACCATCTTCCCTTAATCCACCTCTATATTCTGTCATTTTAAACGTTTAATTGACGCGTGGGCCGTGGGTGCCAGTCAATTCGAGCGGATGCTAGTTTGAGCGGATGCTAGTTCGAGCGGATGCTAGTTCGAGCGGATGCATTTAGCGCGAATTACAACAAGGGCGGATTTATCGTCGCCCTATTTTTGTATTTGTTTGTTTTAAGGAAGTATATGGTTAGCCGTCGGGGCCATAATGAGAACGCGTTAATTTTGTTTTAACGGCGTTAAAACTTATTTTAACGGCGTTAAATCTTATTTTAACGAAGTTAAAATCTTATTTTAACGCGTTAAAACTTATTTTAACGCCGTTAAAACTCAATTTTAACGGCGCTTTTTTAAATCATTTTAACGGCGCTTTTTTAAAACTTCATAATAACGCCGTTAGAATTATAATTTTAACGGCGCTTTTTTAAATTATCGATTTAACGCAATTTAACGAAAGTTAACGCAATTTTGATATCGACTTCATTGATGTTGCATGCAAACAAATCACGCAAAACTCTTTTCGATTGTCGGCGTTGCCCGCTTTATTAAATTACCTGATTTGTAAGTTTGTCCGTTTCCTTGTTTTATCTGAATTAACTGCAACAGTTTCATGCTCGGCCTAGACTGCTAGCTTCTACGGTACGGCAGGCCTAAGCCATGGACCTATAAGATCCATGCCTTAATTTTATAAAAATGCATAGAGACTCACTCATCCCCCTCAAGTTTAATTCTGCCGTATTCTCTTCCGGAACTCCTTCCAACAGATGATTTATGGTTCCATTTAGTAGCTGTTGCAGCGCTTGCAAATTTTCTGCATTCATTTTTTAGTCTTGGGGTGGGTGTGAGGAATAAAAAATGGGGCAATCTATGACTTTCAATCGTTCCCGCGCGCGTAATTGCGCTTTAATTCCTCATCTAAAGCCTGTTTTTGATTGTTAACGTGTGTTGAGTTGCGTTAACTTTCGTTAAATCGCGTTAATTCGATTTTTAAAACGCCGTTAAAACAGATTAAAAAACGCCGTTAAAATTATATTTCAACGGCGTTATTATAAAGCGCCGTTAAAATGATTTAAAAAAGCGCCGTTAAAAAGTGAGTTTTAACGGCGTTAAAATAAGTTTTAACGGCGTTAAAATAGAGCAAAAAAGCGCCGTTAAAATAGAGTAAAAAAACGCCGTTAAAAATCTTATTTTAACGGCGTTAAAATAAGTTTTAGAGCGTTAAAATAAGATTTAACGCCCTTCTCATTATGGCCCCGATGGCTAACCATAGAAGTGGATATATTTACGTGGCCGTAAACAAACCAGTAAACGATATATTTACGTAAATGAAACAACACATGCGCAGTCATACTTTAATGAACTTGCATTATCGGTCACGTAAATTTATCGATTCACGGTTTTAATATAATGGTATTGGTAGAATTCAAGGTTTTGTCTCCTTACAAAAACACACAGGGACGTATACGGGGGAGTGGGGGTGGGGGGCGTGGGAGCCGCGGCTTACACCCCCCCACTTTGTACCACAGTGTTAAAATTTTAAAGCTTGTTCTTGCTAGCCAATACAAATTCTTTCCAAGGAAACCTGTACGGTTTCTCTTTAACTTAAAGTTTTTTCTTGCTTGTTCTACTTTGCATTTGTCGGTAAATCGTGCGTAGCACTGGCGATGTAGCCAGCGTTATAGATGTCACTAATCCTATCAGTACTGACGACTAACGCCTAGGCATACTTCATTGTCCAATCCGAGGGAGCCTAGGCCTGCGGCAGCAGGGGTAGGCCTACAGCAGTTAGGCCTAGTCCCTCTTTAGGCTAGACGAGCCTAGACGGTTGGAAGCGACGATCGAATAAAAACGGTTAAGCAAGCCAAGGACTTCCCTAACTTCCATTCCTCAGTATTAAAATCCTTCCATTGATGGGCAGTGTCTAAAACTTTCTTCCAGCTTATCTCTGAAAAGATTGTAACCTTTACGTATGCAGTTGGCTCAACATGAATTAAACAGGAGCCAGTGAGCTTCTATGACGGCCTAGGCTCGGACATGACAGGTTGTTGTTTGTTGTTATTTCTCGACGTCATCAACGAATACATTCATTATTCACCATCAACTAAACTAAAAAAAAAAAAAAAAAAAAAAAAAAAAAAAACAGGAAAGGAAAGAAAAAAAAATAGAAATCGAACCCACGACCTTAAAAAAATTAAATTAAAAAAAAAATTTAAAAAAAAACTTGCCCCGTGTGGGAATCGAACCCACGATCGCTGGGTTTACTACCCCTGATCCAGCATGACTAAACGGAGGGAGGTAAACCGCGGCCCCTAAACCATAAATGCGATAAACCTAGTACCACACCAAGTACCAGTTAGTCAACTCTGATCTTACTAGAAAAAATTCTTCGTATATATACACTGTAGGTTAATATTACGCATGGTCATAGTGTCAAAAAATTGGGCAGTGTGCCAAGAGGGTTTAATTTTTGTCTAAAAATGTAGAATTAAATTTATAATCGATTTTTGATTGTTACCATCTCCATAACTTACGCACTTTTTTTTAAATAGACAAAAATGTTTGAAAAATTCAATATGCAAATTAGAAAAAAATAGACCAATCATGTTACGGGAAACCTATGGTTGTGTGTTCGATTCCCACACAAACCAATCTTTTTTTTTTAAGGCAGTCTAGTTGATGGTGGATAATGAATAGCAAACCTGGTGGTTGTGTGTTCGATTCCCACACGAACCAATTTTTTTTTTTTTTTTTTAAGGCAGTTTAGTTGATGGTGTTTTTTTTTTTTTTTTTTAAGGCTAGGGCCTTCAGACCAAGAAGAACCATTTCGTATTTTTTGGAGCTTTTTTGACTTGTCAATATGTATGGCTGATAATTTTACGTTATTTTGTCAGGTCGAGGTAGTGATTTCACTTTATTTGACAATAGACTGATATTATTTCAAGAAAGTCGTGTACTTGCAAAAAGACTAAATTAATCATTGTTTTAAGTTTGAATATCGTGTTTTCTTCTTTTTCTTCTTTCTTAAGTTTCCTTTTGTTTCTATGTTTCATTTTCTGTTTTAGTCTCTCCTTTTCTTTCTTATGCTTCCTTTCCATTCCATTTCTTTCTTATGTCTTTTTTCTTATTCTTTTCCTTTTCTGTCTTACGATTTTCATTTGTTTTCCTTTTATCTTTTTCTTTCCCTTTTTCTTTCTTATGTTGTAGTGAAAATCAGGGCCCCCGTGACCTTTTTCAGGGACCAACGCTTCTCTATTGATTTAGCATCACTAGATAAAATAAAATGAACGGGCGGGCGGGGAAACCTCCAGAAAAAGGGCGGAACGTCCTTTAAAGTCGGATAAGCTTCTCTTAGCAAACCTTAGCATATGATCATATTTTTTTTCGACAGTGTGCAATCCAATTGTTCATTTAGATTAGAATGACTTTGTTCTTTTTTTTTGTATTTGTAAACCCCAAATATAGTGCAAATATTTATAAGATTGTGTCCCCTCACTCACAGTTATGAATTTTCCTATCTGTTTTCCATTTTTTTCTTTCGGTTTATGAAATACCCATTCGGTGACCATCATTAGATTTTTGCTAATTAAAGCTTGATTTCCACTCCTTTGCATATTTCCCTGCGATATACAACATTTTTAACACTTTAAATTTATTATTTGCCGTATTAAGCAACATGGTAGGCCCAAAAAGTAAAAATAAAGCAACATTTTTTTCTTCTGAAATTTCCATTTTTCGTGGCGGTGGGTGTGCTAATTGGCCAAATATAAATTTGTTTTATTCGAATCATCATTTTAAAGGGCGGCATGTCCGCTAAACAAGGTACAAAAAAGTTTGCCATATCTACGACCATTTGTGGCCGAGTTAAATTGTGGCCAAGTTGACTTGCGGCCGAGTTGACTGTAGCCGAACTTTTTGTGGCCGAGTTGACTTGTGGCCGAATTGACTGTGGCGCAGCACACTACTATTTTGAGATAAAATTTAATAAACAGCAATTATGTAGGCGAAATCGAATGTAAACTCAGACTTAACTATTTTGAACTAAATGTAATAACGGTAATTATTGTAGGCGAAACCGAATGTAAACGCAGATTTAACAACCACTATAAATATTTCATGAAGAGATTCAGGACACGGATGAGATATTTATACTGAGTACATTTTACATTGTACGTTATATTATTAATTAAGGTCAGAAATGGCTTACAGAAAATAATTCAATAACCATATGTCGTATAATGGCCTTAACAGCAGTGAATAGGTAGATTCAAGCAACATATGCAACATAATCGATTATTATTAATGTAATTTTTTTATTAATTATATATAAATTCATAAATTCATTATTATTACTTTTTATTGTTAAATCATTGCTATTAAAATATTATTATTGCTATTTAATTGTGCATATTGTTAGATATAGGCTGACGTTACTACAATAACTCAAATTACTAGAACAATTCTAATACAGTATTTGTTTATTGACATTTTTGTAAACCTTGAATGATACAGATAATTATGAAATAAAAAGTTGATTGACACTTGAATTTCACGTTGACTTTTAATGTTGCCTGTAGCCTATGACAGTGTGGTGGTGATGATTGTTAATTGAAGTACAGCATAATAATGGTTACAAAACAATTTAATTAAACAATATAGAAATGCCAAAATCCTCTGATTCCCTTCGGAGACTGGGTATATTTGTTTAAAAAAAAACAAAAAAAAAAGCCACAGGTCTTTCTTGTTTTTAATTACATATACATGATAAGCCTACATAGAAATACTGTACTGTATACGCAATAACAAATACAAAACACAAATATTGAAGTGTTGCATGACCATTGTGAAATGTACCACCTCTTTTCATCACCGGGGTGGCGCCAGGATTTGCCCGAGGGGGAGGGGCGAGGTCCCCGACGGTGGGGGGCCTGATTCCACCGACGAGGTCTTAGACTTGTGGGCGTGGTCGAGCTTCCATTAAAAGGTTTTGAAAGTGGTCCAGGGGCGATTTTATAAAAATACCAAAGTCGAAACAGTCACATTCAAATATTTAGGAGTCATGTTTAGCTCTTCTGCGTCATGGAATAAAGCTTTAGAAAACAACAGCACACAAGCAAAAAAGGCATTGTTTTCTTTGAAACCAATTTTACATAGATATGGAACACTCCCGATTAGTATTTTAAACAGAATTTTTGATACTCAAATTCTACCTATACTATTGTATGGAAGTGAAATCTGGGGAATATTTAATAATATTGATATTATTGAGCAAACACACCTGTTATTTATCAGATATATAATTAGGGTTAGGAAAACTGCTTCAAAACATGCTATTATGGCCGAAGTTGGAAGATTTCCTTTAAGCTTATCATGTTCTATTAATGCTATAAAGTTTTGGTTACGTTTAATTAATGAAATTGATCCGAACAGTATATTAGCACAATGTTATTCTTTTCAATTAAGACAAGCGGAAAGAAATGAAATTTGTTGGACACATTATGTTAAAAATATTTTAAATTCAATTGGCTTTGGTAATGATTGGCTTTCTTAAAATGTCCTTAATAAAACATCATTTATTTACAATCTTACGCTAAAAGACATAGAACGTCAAATTATCATTGAAAACATAAATTCTTCCTCAAGACTTAAATATTTTTCTTCTTTTAAAACTAACCTATATTGCGAGAATTATTTATCGTTAGTTCTTGATTTTAAAAAGAGAAGCCTGTTTTCTAGACTAAGACTAGGAATTCTTGACCTTAAAATTGAAAAAGGAAGATGGTCAAACACACAAAAAGAACAACAAATCTGTAAATTATGCAATTTAATAAGACGAATTTAATTTTATTTTAATTTGTCCACTATATAAACATTTAAGAAACCGTTTAATACCTAATTACTATTTATGACATCCTAATGATTTTAAGTTTAAGAAACTAATGTCAACAAAGAAACAATCACTTTTGTTTAAATTAGCTCATTTTGTACAATTTGCATATAAGATAAGAAAAGAAAATATATAATATGCAGTGAATTTATGTATTTTTGGGCCAATGGCCTTTATATACTGAATAAACTACATTGAACATTGAACATTATACATATGCCTACTATAATAACACATAGGCCCAAACGTGATTTTCAACAACCTTAAATACGTTGAAGTCCAGGCCAGGTCTTTCAAGATACAGAAATGTGATATTGTGTGATATTGTATGGTTCAGTTTGGTTTTTATCATTTTGGAAGCTCTATAAAGTTTTGATTTAATACTACAGCACTACTAGTTAATAATAATAATTATTATTATGATGACAATGATGAGGATGACGATGGTGATAATAGATAATAATATTAGTAATATTAAAAAGTGAAGAAAATTGTGCTAAAGGCGAAAAAGTAAGTTGTGATTTGTTGATAACAAATATTACGGTATAGTTAAAGCCTAGTAAGCTATAGTTAGGCCTAAGTTGTTTTGATATTAAGTAGATCCCTGATAAAAGATTATGAAAAATTTGTTTGACTTTTTTTGACTATATAATGGTGATGTAATGACGATGAATTTTACTATATTATAAAAGTGTTATTTTCGGCCATCTAGAGGTACTATTTCCTCAAATTTTCGCACCTCAGCCCCAACCATGGTGGGGCTGAGGTGGTTGTGAAATCACGGCTTTGAAGTATATAAAGTACATACTCAAAAGCAATATTTATCTTCTATGGTACATCACACATATTAAAGAACTCTATGGTTGCCGAAAATTCCTGATAAATTATCATGAGAAATTTGTTGGCGCTTCATTTTGAGTATAATTATGTTATCAATGTCGTTGCCAGCTGTTGGGATAGTTGGACATTCCCACACAATTTTTCTATTGGGTCCACAAAGAATGGGTGTACATTTTCAAATTATGCTGTTTTAGCACAAAATGAGTCCTGATTTTGAAAAATGGGTCAAGATTTCTCATATTTTGCGTAAAATGGGTCAACTTTTAAGAAAATGGGTACATATTTTTCATATTTTTGCGTAAAATGGGTCCACTTTTAAGAAAATGAGTCCATATTATTTTAATTAACGCGTAAAGTGGGTCCACACTGATATTTCCCGCATTGTTTGAAAATCCTAGCTACAACATTGTATGTACGGTGATGTGATGATGAAGTTTTTAGGATCTGGTTTTCACATTCCCATTTTTCGTGATTATGACTATTTTGGATAAAGAATGTTTTGAGCAGTGGTAGATTCAAGGTCTCCCCCTCCCCCTAATTTTTTTTAATGAAAAAAAATATTGCCCCAAATCCAAATTTAAGTCTGAAAATGTAATTTCCGGTCATCTAGAGGTGCCCTTAATCATAAATTTTCTTACCCACCCAACCATGGTTGGGCTGAGGTGGGTGGTTACCCAATCTGTAAAAGTCCCTCCCTGGAGTCACCTCTATTGAATTCCTGGATCCACCACTGCTGAGTTTTATATTATTGTTAGGCTTACTAATATTATTTATGATGCGTTTATTGCAATTTTCACTTTATCATTTCAGAACAGCCCTAAAAACTTTCAAAGTGCACTACTTTCCAGGGGACTTCTCCCCTGGACTCCCCACGGGGTCCTACGTACTTTGCATAACGGCTCCCCCCCCCCCCTTTCAAAATCCTGGCTACGTCCCTGAGACGGTTGGTAACTATGTTATGACCAATAGGAATTGAGAATTACTAACTCGCAAAATAAGATGATTTTAGGTGATTTTTAACTACTTGCAATTGATTGAAAGCCTGAGCCCCGGCCGAATGCAAATTGTTAGCTCAAAATAGGAAATAAAGTAATTCGTAGGCCTACACAACTCGCACAGGCTGTTGTTCGCACAAGTGAATTTTTCTCCGCTCGAACTAGCATCCGCTCGAATAAATTCCACTCGAAACCGCTCTAATCCGCTCGAACTGGCATTCGCTCGAAGTGGCATCCGCTCTAATTGACTGGTTCCCATTGAGGCTTGCCCTATACAACGGGTGGGGGAGGGGGGTACGAAACGAGTAAAGAATAACACACAATCTACCCAACGAATGAATGGTGGTGGTAATAAGTGAACTATATGCGGCTCAGATCGGTGCCAATTTTAATTGGACACGTTCCCATGAGTCGCATCAGCGGGATAATAATCTACAGTATCCCCTACTAGGCCTAGACTTTAACATTATCAATATACGGACATAAATAATTATACTAGAATATTACAAATTAAAGTTAATACAAATCATGAAAACATTAACATTTCCAATATTATGTGGCAGTAAGGCCTATGTGAAAATTATGAAAATACTTGAAAATAAAAAATAAATTAAAAACTTAAAATCCTACGAAAAGCATGACAAAACAATAACAATAAAAGCTAAAATAGGATTATTAATAAAATAATAATATTTTTGGCATTAATTCTTAATGCCTGTATTAATGATGTTTTGTCTTCTTTATTTATGGTCAACTTTTTCATTGACCCAATTTTTGCGTAATTTATAATCTTATACAGTGCACCTTCCAATTCGAGACCCCTCTAATTCCTAGACCCCTCCAATTCAAGACCACTTTTCAAAGAACCAAATAAACAATCTTCATTCTTTAAACACAAAACTAACCCTCTATTTGGAGACCGAACCTCGAGACCACCCCATTTCAGGTTCCATAGGTGGTCTCGAATTGGATGGTCAACTGTGTATTACAATGTTACATGTATTTTTTACAACTGTATGTTACCATGTAGGCCTACTGTACCGGTAACTATTTTTGTTGCGATAATATCGGTTGTCTCATTTTCCATTTGGAACTATCCCGGTAGTCAGGGGATTATAGTGTTTTATTATGAATACCATATGATTGAGTTATTGACAAATGATGCTTTACATATTCTTATGCTGGTCTCTCATAATATATTTCTGTAAGTTTTCAAAATGAATTGCGATATAAGGAATGCGTCTCTGGTGCTCCTATATTCGTTCTGTAATGTTATTTCATTGTAATATCTTATTTTTTATAATACTTGAAAAAGAAAATAGAAACATAAATTACCGTAGTTATTTTATCTTACTATAATTTATTCCTAATACTTTGGCATTTATTTGATAGTAACTATTCAACTTCAAGACAACAATTGACCAGATTATCAATCTTTTACAAGTTTAAAGACTTTAAACACTATACACTAAAATGCAATGGCGTATCTAGGGGTGCATGCCCCCCCCCCACCGTCGTCACCCCATCATCCCGCCCCATTTTAATACGCCTATATACACTACTACTAAAATTACCCAGCTAACAAATTTACATTAATGTTACAGTTATCGTTACAGTTAAAAACGTTTTTGAAGAACCATAAAGACGTATTTATAACGTAATTTCTGTCTAAATAACGTTGCAAGCGTTGCTGAGACGTTGTGTTTAATTAACTTTGTGCCTAACCACAACGTTTATAACACGTTTGTAAATGTTAATAACGTTTTCGTTTTCTCGGGACTGTCAGAGTCACACCAACCAGTATGTCACTCGAAATTGTGAATAATAATTATACCGTATTTATTCAAATAAACCCCCGGGACCTTCATTGTTGAGAAGAGTTTTTGAGGGGCGTTGATTCGAGTCAGGCGTTTATTTGTTTTGGTGTAAAATGGATACACAGCGGTATATACTCAAATATACACCCCTTAATTTCACTGTAATGTGGAACTCAACATCACATAATTACAGTGGCGTATCTAGAAGTCTTGAATTGGAGGGGGCTGATGGGGGCCTGTCATTCGTGACAGCAAGGGGGGGACTCAATGATCAGTTGAGGGATGCTAATTCGCAAAATATGGTGATTTTAGGTGATTTTTAACTACTTGACCGTGATTTTTTTTTAGGAGGGCGACTGGGGGCCCGACGCCCTCCCCTAGATACGCCACCGCATAATTACCGTCAAAATTTATTACGTGATCATAAAAATATACTGATCCCAACCAGGTTAGAAAAAATGTAATTCTAGCGGAGTAAAACATTAATAGAATATGTTGAGGATGAGTTGCTTCCATCATAATTGTTTACAGTAAATTTTGGGGGCGTTTATTCGGGGAAGAAATAGACGCCTCGCGGGGAGTTTATTCGACTCGGGAGGCCATTATTCAGAGCGGGGAGTTTATTCAAATAAATACGGTAATATGTCTATACTATAATAATATCTAATTATTAATTACAACTTACTTATTACTGTTTTTGATAAGCTCAAAATACCTATAATTCAAGAATAACTTTAAAAACGCAAAATTATCGAATTACTTAGGTTTCAAAATCTTAATCTATTATTTTTAATCAAATCTTTAAAAATTAATTTATTAGAAACTGCTAACGCCACACTATCGCACTTGTTTGAGTACAAATGTATGAAGCATGTAACAAATCTTGGTACTATGGTAGTAATAATACTGCTGTTGATGATGGATGTAGTCACAATGTTGTTGTTTATCTTGTTGTTAATGACAATGGTAATTATGATAATGGGGACAGTGAACGCAAAAAATGATGATGATGGTGATGATTGATAATGACATTGATGGTAATGCTGCTGATGATAATTATGCTGGCGATGGCAGTGAAGACGGAGGTGGCAAAAATAATATTACGACGATGATGGTAATGCCGATAATAGATAATAGTTAGCATAAACCATATCAAAACAAAAAACACACATCACAGAAACTCAGCAAATTTTACACCCAAAAATTACAAACTTTGTTGTCCAAGTGACAAATCAATTAGCGAAGTGATGTGTAGTCTTTTTTTCGTGGGAGTTTTTTAATTTTTTTTTTAAATTTATGTTACTTTTTGGTTCAGTCAAGTATAACTGTCTCATGCCCTAGCTAAACCAGTATCAATAGTAACGGCACACAACTCAGTTTATATGTCTATTCTGAACAGAACATCTCAAAATCCATTATTTCTTCCTTACGCATTCTGTCCTCAGCCACAATGAACCATTGGCCTGCGCAAGGTGTCACCCTGAAAATCCCTCAACTTCTAATAATGCATCCATCCCATCCTTTACATAAACCTATACAAAAAAATCCACTCATTTATTTTTAAACGTTAAAATTATATGATCCCTTCCGTACAAAAATCAATGCATAAATAAATCTATAAAATATACTGGCTTTACACCCATTCTTTACTCTGGCTACCATAATTGTGTCTTAAGCTTGTCAAAAAAAATAATATAATGCCGCTGGTATAATGCCCAAGTATATTACGGTTCGAGTAACTTTTTGTGAACTGCCTGGGATCATTTTCCCAAATTCATGACAAGGTGTTGATGAGTTTAAGTCCTAACTGCGTTCCCTATGCCGAGTACGGTGTTGGCTGCTCCGATACCAGTTTTACTGTCTGCAAATAGAAATATTGTGATTTCAGTTATCATAATGAAATAATAAATTATGCCTTAACTTTATAGCAGTGAAACTAATCATACAACACATACTAAAATCCGTCTCGGAATACACCCCCACTCCCCCCCCCCCACCGTGGCGTATCTAAGAGTCTTGAAATGGGGGTGGGACGATGGTGAAGCTGGGGGATCGATGATTAGGTGAGGGGAAGCTAGCTCACAAAATAATGTGATTTTTTAACTATTCGTTAACGTACTCACAGCCCGTTGGCTTAGGTCGTTCTATTTGCCAATAGTTGAAGCCTTCCTTGGCTTTGGTGTTGTATGAAGTCCGTAGCATGTTCGATCTATGTGTAGGTCTATGTGATTTACTTCGTTGATTATCGTATGTACCAGGCAAGGCGCCATCCAATTTGTTCACGAGGATGTCAGTAAATGTGTGGTCCTCTAGGCGTGAAAAAGAGCCGTTGTCGTTGTACTGGAACGTTGCTACCCATTGGTCATGTGGTACACTGGCAGGGGCCGATCCTGTGATTCAAATTCGAACAAAGCATGAATAAATATTTAGGGATAATTATTTAATTAATATATAATACAGGAGATATACTATACTAATCTATACTATACTACTACTATTAAACTATACTATATCTAATGTGTGTCCTATTATTTGTTTGTATGATTTAAATATAATATTTATTTATATGTTTTTTGACAAATTTTCATAATGTAACATCCAATCTGAAAGTTTGATTAAAGATAATGACTTTGGTGTTGAAGATAATATGACTTTGGTGTTCTAAATATTTAATTAATATATAATACAGGCAACTATATCTAATGTGTGTCCTACTATTTGTTTGTATGATTTAAATATAATATTCATTTATATGTTTTTTTGACAAATTGTAATAATGTAACATCCAATCTAAAAGTTTAATTAAAGATAATATGACTTCGGTGTTCTTTAAAAACATCTTTTCTCTGCACTTGGAGGGCATCGTATACCGTAACGCAGGTTGTATAAATGAGTAAATTGTGTAGAAAGAAGTTATTAAACCATATCCAAGTAATAGTGTAGGCCTAAATTTGATTCTAAAGATTTGTTTACGTTTTAGGAGAGCGGTAAACAAAACATTACCTGCACGATTTATCACTTTCCCAGACGGCATTGCGACTTGAACAGTGGTACACTGAATTAAGTTGACAAAATGAAAACCATATAATGATGAACGTTAACATAGAAATATATGGTACTCTGTCTGTGGTACTGAATATATCAAAGTAATTAATTTGTTCGTCTATCCGTCTGTTCGTCCGTCCGTTCGGTTGTTCGTTTGTTTGTTTTTTTTCGTTCTTTCATTCGCTCGTTTATTCCTTCATTCATTAATGTATTCGTTAGTTCGTTTCTTTCATTCATTCATTCATTTACTCATTTAGGTAGATGAGCAAATCACTGATTTATTTTGAATGTTAATGGTTTTTTGCCAGATTTTAATACAGACAGATTAACTCCAACTTATCAATAGACCTATTCAACATTGGCTATGAAATGGAACGCATTGTCAATCAGATTAAATACATTTAAAAGAATAACTGATCTGCAGTGCAGTGCCATTATACTACATTATTTAAAGGTTTTGTATTTGTGTCGGGGCCGCGGACATGTTATAATTGTTTTATTCTATATAAATATTGATTTCCTTGCTTACGTGTCTCTTCGACCAACTGAATCTAATTATGTTTGCATTTGCTTTAATCAAATAAACGAAACGAAACAATAAGATGAGACGACGGTTGACAATAAGATGGGGTTCATTAACAATAAATGAGATATAATGACAAGTACCGCATACCAAGCATTATGCAACGAAGCCACATAGACGGTCATTATATTGAATGAAGGATATAAAGATTACGATCAATACAGTACGAAAGACTGCTCACAGCCGATGGTCTAAAAAACTGAATTCATCACATTTTGAAAAGACACGATATGCAAAATAAAACTAAAAAGAACAAATATATTGTCATATATGTATATAGTTGGATAATTCTGTTGGCCAACTTTTACTATTAGGTTGTAATGCTTATGTTTTTTGGGTTTTTTTTAAAAAGTTTTATGTTGTTACTAATAAGCCGGAATTCGCTGGTACAACTGTGAGGAGAGTGTGACGTAAATAAATGAATTAATTAAACTAAACGTTTTATACATAATCCTATTGAATGCAATATAGCTTATCGTTCACTTATCGCGTATCATTGAGTCTGAATATTGAATGTATTTTATTTACCTTCAATTTCATGTTAGTCCAGTGGTCTGTCTGAGCTTGAGGAAGACGAACGGGATCATGCTTTGACCAGAAGGTCATTCTAAAAGATATGTAGATAAAACAAAAAATAACATTATCATTTGCACTGCTGTTTTTAACTTCATAAAAAATTGCTATTAAACATTTATGAATACTGGTACTGCCGTCCTGGTGGTACATAAGAAAAATTCTTCAAACATAATATATCAGGCCGGCTAGTGGAGTGAACAAGCGTCCCTTCCAGATTAATACCGTGGGCCTATATAATGTCAACCTATACTACGTTAATTTATCACCATTATACACGTCATAAAATAGAGTTTGAGCAGATATTGGACCTGTTAAGCCACTACTGGTAAGGCGATTTGATTACAATGGGCGTCTAGCCTACTTAAGAATTAAGATAGTGAAGACATCATACGGTAGATTCCATCGAAGGATTAGCGTGGAATATAATTAGTTATTACTACCGTTATATTTTCCATCATAGTCCGTTATGACAACTACGGTATTACCATTTTCGCACCAACATTAAACACACTCAATTACATTGTTCCGTTGTACTTTAGTCACTAACAATTTTACATTATGATTATACATATTAAGTGTCATGTTTGTTGCTGAAATAGACGCCATGTTTAGAGTATGCCTATTATTATATATTTAAAACATTCTGGCGTTATAATATGTTCTTACGGATATAAACTTAGGAAGCCTTACTTTTCAGTTCCAATAATTTCGACGTAGGCTAATACGGTACTTATTGTGGTTCGACCATGTTCGACCATGTTCTCAGGTTCGTAACTTATGGTTTGTAACATAATAACGCCAAGCCTAAACCAGGCTATAAAGAGTACTTTTATTTTATGAAGTTAAAAAACAGAAATAGTATTTATTCACTACAAAGTATGCCTAACTGTCTTAATACGATTTTATAATAATATAACTTATAAGATTAAGAGTTTTCTGAGCCTTACTTACGAAGATTTTCTTGTGCTGTACGGTTTCGGAACGTTCGTCTTCGCCATAATGGCCCACTCCAATTCCTCTTTTGTAGCTTGTTGTGTGACGAGCCTACCGCCGCTATATTCACAAAATAAACAAGAGGGTAATCGTAAGCTTCTTTGCAGTCATGGTAACGTTTCATGGGGATCTTTTGATGCGGATAGGAGTGAAAGGTGGACCAGAGGCGACTAATAAATGCCATAAATATGTTCAGATACCTCTGTTTATACGCGCGGAACTTATTTACTATTGTGATGTCAGTGCGCTCCGAACCAAATTTAACTATTTTCATTAATTAATTTATCTTAAGTGTTCTATATTGCAATTGCAATCATAGTTTATACCAATATATATCTGGGTTTCTATGGTCTTTTGAAGCTCTGGTCTCTAATTAGAATACTAAAGACAAAAGACATTTCTTTATTTGTGACCACAGAAAAGTTGTCTTTAATTTAAGATGGTCTATAAATGGAGGGGTCTTTAATGGACCTTTCCGCTAAGCCCCGCCCCTTGGATATTGTTGCTAAGGTCCCACAAAGCGATAGTGTTAAAACATAGGCAAACACGTTCGTTTGTGGGACAACACGTGTGTTTGTGAGACGCGCGCGTATTCCTAGCTCTGTTCTTATTAGTCAGTTGTTAAGTTTGATTGACACTCCTGAAAGGTCTATTAGAGGAAGACCTGTGATAATTAAATAATGGTGAACAGATTGGCAACATAAAAACAAATATTGATATTGATTTTTTTTCTAATTAGTTTTAATCATCATTTAAATGTTTCATTTCACATTAATTAACAGTAACAAGACCTTAAATTGGTAATCAAAATAAATGTCATGAATATGTTTTGTGTTGATCTTTTTTTTGTTTTTTGTTTTTTGTTTTTGTTTTCTTTTGTTTTGTGTTCATACTGTATTAACTTTGTTAGGACTATATTTTGTTACAACTACAGTTAAACAGAAAAAGAATATTGTTTGGATATGTCTAATTATATTGCGTGTTGTCACAAATGCTCTTTGAAACCTATCAATTATTGGGCACGCGGCAAGTGCTACATTATTAATAGTCATTTAAACATTTTATTTAATATAATTTTTAATTGCTTCAGTGCGTTGCTTGACCCTTGTGACCTGTAATAAAATTTAATGTAATCTTCCATTTTGAAGTTGTAAATTTGTTGTCAATGGTAACATTTTGTACAGATTTGGTTGATTGGTTTTCTTCACCAGTCATTTGTCAAGGCGCTCAATAACTGCGCATGCGTAGAAACCTTGTAAAGTTATGTAGAACATTGAAAGCTTTCACAGATCAAGAAAGAAAGGTTCGATGGCAAAACTGTGACAAATACGCACAATAGACCTATATTTTACAACGGATGACTGATCATATAAAATGCATGACTTTTTTTTTCCCGACCCTTTTGGTTATTTATCGTAGTAATATTTTACACTAGCCTACTTGTTGTTAAGGAAATATCGGTTATACCTATAGGCCTACATGTAAATCAAGCGGAATCACCTGTCTAATTTTGCTCGACATCCGTATCTTAATTGCTTTAATGATGCTTATCTTATATAAAAGAAAAATAGCTAAAAGTCAGTAAGACCCGATTAACACGTCATAACTGCAACCAGAGAGAGGCTCTTAACTGTGATTGGGTTTGTCGTGTTTCTGACACAAAGGATTTTTTTTGCTTTCAATTGGTAGGAATCTTAAACTTGTTTGCTTTTTACCTGACCCAAAGTAAATGATTGCTTAAGATAGAAACTCCCAGTGCTCGACATGCATGTATGGCATCCAACCAACCAGTTCTTTTGACTTTCGATGGTGGCGAATTTACTTAACAACGCAATATTGATGGGTTTATACCGTAACAGCAGACGTTGGAAATTTACCGTACCGTTCATATCCATTACTCTTCCAACTTCGGGAGTTAAGCTAACATCAAGTACACAATGATTTATATAGCCTCTGTTTGGAATATATCGCGTTACTACCAATGGATTATCTAATATAAATTTGGTTGCCTGAACTTCTAATATTATAATGTATTTGTGTGGATTAATAATGTGCGTCTTCAATAAGTTTGGGCACCATGATTAAATCGTATACATCTCAACAAGGAGGTAGAGCTCATGGAGAGTTTTCTAAGGTCATTAACGAGGTTGACCCATTTGACATCGACAACTTTAGCAGGGACAGTAGACGAGCGAGTATGCTAAACACTATTAAATTAATGGGAGGCCCAGGGGTAAGCAATGGTAAACGGGCTTCATTTCAGTCTCCATCTGGATCTCGTAGGGGTAGCTTAGCATCGACGTCCTCTTCAAAGAGGGGGAGTCTTAGAAAGGGAAGTATTGGTTTTTCCAACATAAAAGAGGAACCAGACGACGGCGTTTTTTACTCTGAATCATCACAGAACAACCGACTGCAAGATTTAGGAGTTGATTCCAATAATAACTTTACACCCAATAACAAAATTAAAGGACGCTCATACGTGATGGCCTTGAATGATGATAATTTATCAATTTCCGAATCTACTGAACTTAACAAAGACAAACGCAGGGGATCAGTATTAATTAAAATTAACGAAGCTTTAGGCGTCGAACCTACATCAGATGGCCAACTTCGCTCCATCAACGCACGAAGAGGATCGTGGATGCATAAACTGAGGGGTACTTTGCAATCCCAAGTATCAGAGGATAAACCGAAGTCTCGGAATGGGAGACGAGGCTCAACCATGTCTCGATTACAAGATGTGGTCTTAGATGTAAAAGGAATTTCAGGATCGAGAAGAACATCGCTTAAGTCGAGTGCGTCTGGAGGTTTCTTAGCAACTGGACAAGGTGGCGCACAGAGCGCACTCAAGTTGCACTTCCAGCTCAAGAAGTTACGTCAACGAAACAGAGTGAGTTGGGTTTTTACCACCACCACGATGATGATGTCATCAACGTCATCATCATTATTATCATCATATTCATTATCATCATCATTTTGATCATCATATTCATCATCATCCTCACCATCATCATCACAATCATTATCAATTATCTCCATCATTTTAGTCATCTCAATCATCATCATAATCAGCATCCTCATCCACACAATCATCAATATCATCATTATTATCATCCTTGTTCTTTGATATCAGAATCATCATTAACATCGCCGAACTTCATCATCATCGTCGTCATCATCATCATCATCATCATCATCATCATCATCATCATCATCATCATCATCATAAACATTAAGACTCAAAGCAAACATCACCCTTCATATTCCCAAAGGACGAAGTATATATCTTGAATCTGAGAACAAATTGTATTGTAGTCTCGGTTTTTTACTATAATAAAAACTTTGTGACATGACATGAGAAATGCGTCTGGGTGGATTAGAACCATTGAGCTTGAAGGTGAACGTTAGTATATATATTATAACTTGCAAAATATATATTGGTTTATATGCCATATATAGAAATTAGTGTTTTTGGCTTATGGTCTAAGTAGCGTATCTAGGGGTGTGTGTACAATGACATCTTACACCTTACCCCTCCTCCGTTCGCTCAAGTCGTTAAAAATCACCTTATTTTGCGAGGTAGTTCTCCTCACTTGATCATCGAGCCCCATACACTTTACTCCGCCTCCCCTATTATCCCAAATTTCAAGACACACCACTGGTTGGTCGTACTTCCGAGCTTATTTTAATTGGGCCTTAATGGCCATCGAAGTGATTTTTAAGTGCATCGACATGATTGTATAACCATTAACAATCTCCTATAAGTAATCTTTCACTTATTATTGATTGTTTACTGAATAAGCAAGTCTTATTTATCGATATCTGATCAGCTGTATAAATTTATTCGTGAATCGTCTTCCATTCCAATCACAAATATAACTTTGTCCATTAATAATAATAATCTGTCCATTAACACTCCACCAACAAAAAAATCATTACAATGAGGTGACAGGCCGTGAAGTTACCATTGTGACGATTTATGCGCTTGTAATGGTTCGCCCTGACCCAGCTCCAACATCAAAGGAAAAACAAATATATTCAGCAATGTTATGATGTTTGTTATATATTAGATTTCAAGTACTAGTAATGGCCGTGCTTAAAATGTGGATTCGTTGAATGATCCTATCAATACTTTCACAAACACTGACGTAGAAATAGCTTATGGTTGGAATTTTATTTGAAAAAAAGTCTTTCGTTTGACAAAAAAAAAGAAGAAGAGAAAGAAAAAGTGGAAGTTAACAAATTTAGTGATAAAAATCACGAGACATTATTGTATATTAAAATGTACCGTTTCTTCCTCTGAATAGGCTCATACATTTTCTCTCATTTTAAAAATATTTCTATCACTTGTTGGGCCTAATCATTCGAGTTTATTTCGTCAAGCCTACAGTATGTTGTTCTATAACACTTTGATTTTGTACTTGTATTAAGCCTTTACGATTCCGTATTATTTTTATTTTATGACATTATGGCAAAATAAACGTTATTTAATTGATCACACATTTATCTAACAGGTTTAAGTTACTGAGGATAATTTTTTTTACTTCTGGTCTCCTTTTTTTTGCTTTTTACTTTCTCATCAATCGATCATGGCCTCTATCCATTAAACAGATATAAGCATAAAAAGCTTTTAGTTAATGTTTAAATTACTATCTGTTACTTCACATTCTGGAAAAATATGAACATGAGTATTAATATAAATTTAAAATATATTTCTACCGTTATCTTAACTTTAACACAGGTTAAGATGCAATTACAATAACGAATTGACTGAGGAATATAATTTCTTTATCATAATTTAAGGCATACACGCAATCAATTCATTGGGTAACCAGGGCAAAATGTAAACAAAGAAATGGAATGCAGATCGCGCACGCCATGGATTAAGAAACGTCAGCGCAAACGAAAGTTTTCAAATAAACCATGATGCACAGCGATACGACTGCCACTTTATTTATTTTTATTTTTTAATATTTCATCAAACACCCAATATTGTGTAAAAACATGAAATATTATTATGATAAGCAATGGAATTGTTTAATAATAATAATATTTTCACTTAATTCTTTCTTGTTCTTCTGCTGTACAGGGGTTAGTCTTTCTGTTGCTAATATCCGTATTAGAATAAACAATGTGTAGGTTAACTCCATAAATTTATAAAGAAAGATAAGATTCTCTCATTAAAAACTGTTAAAACATAGCTTATTAAAAATGGTAAACTTAGGCAGCCAGTTTTTGTACTAAAATAATGTAAGGAGCCTGTTGTTGACAAATAACTTAATTTAATTATCGTAAGCCAATTGTGCACAGTGTATGTTTGACTGCTCTCGCCTCCGACTATGTGAGTTCGAGTGTCCTTTTCCTAAAAAAATAATGTCTTCAGAATCGGTATATAAAAATACAATGTGTCAAACTATTACGTTTTTGTAATAAAGAAGAGATGTGCAACAGGTGGTTGTTATTAAAGTTTTATCACACAGATATTTAGATGCCAAATAAAGACTAAATATGATTTATAGAGACTTCGCTTTCACACGCTATACGTTATTAGGCTCGTCGGTTCATTGCCAGGTTTATGCCACCGGGAATCGATGTAATCCTGCTGTACAATTTCCCAATGGAATTAAATCATTTATGTCATCCGAGACAAATTTAAGTTTAACATAAAGGCTTTTTGTTTTTCTTGAGCGAAGAGAAAATAGAGAAAACGACCCCAGAAGTTTTGTATAAATAAAAAAGAAATAGGCCATACAGAATTTATCTTGGTCATTGTTGCAGGAGAGACGATTGCTTTCACTTTTGATATTGGCCAATTTCTGCAAATAGGAAGAAATTGCGGTCATAAAGTTTATATTTACTGTGCAATGTTTCTATAAAATGAACTTGATGATACCACAGAAGAGAAATGCCAGTATATATCAGTAAATGAATAATGTAATAAACGATCGGTGGTGATGTTAATGATCATTAATCATGATGACGCTGATGTGATGATGATGGTGATGGTGATGATGATGATGATGATGATAATGTTGACGGCGACGACATCAATGATGAAGATGGTGATAATAAACTTTATTATTATTATTATTATTATTATTATTATTATTATTATTATTATTATTATTATTATTATTATTATCATTACCATACCTTACTACCTCGATGATACAACTAATTTTCATTTTATCTTACAGGAGAAGCGGTTGCGCAAATTTCGATCATCAGCAAAGATAATTATATTTTTATACCGCCTCTGTAAAACGCATTATTTAAGGTAAGTTTAAATGGGCCTTCAAAGCCGTTAAAACAGATGTTTTGTATGCAAACTAGTGAATCAAGTCAAACATACTGCGACGAACGTATAATTTGCTATGCAGGCCCAGAACGATATGGCAATATTGCCAAGGGAAACGTGGTATCTTAGATGAACTCTGAACTAAAATACAACACCCGTTGTCATAGCAACATAATGAAGAAAAAATATTGTAAATTTCCCCATGTGTTAGGCTATAAATATTGGCGGATTCATAAATTCGAAATAGAGGGGGCACTGGGAGGGAATTTCAGAAATGGGTTATACCACATTAGCCCCCACACATGTGTATCCAGGCGATTTCGGATTACAGCACCTCTAGATGGCCGGAAAAGCATTGTCAGACTTAAAAATTTGAACATAATTTTATTTCTTTCTCCAATTTTTGAAAAATTTAGGCCCCGGGGACCGAGTCGGCTGGGCCCCAAATAATTCGCCCCTGATAGCCCTATGTCATGTTCACGGGAACACATTTATTGTCGTTTATTGGTAGACCCATTGCTCTGCTATATCCTTGATATACGTAATTTTCTGCTAAATAGGGTAATAGATCAGAATTAATTAACTAATAGGCCTACACAACACTTTTTTGATTCACCTCAAACTTCAATCGACTGAATCGTATTGAAATAGGCCTAGTAGGAAATTAATTAATTTATTAAATGATTATTAATAATGTTTCCAAACAAGCTCGCAATTATATTTTTCGAGATATAAAGACACGTTTTTCAGTTTTAATCGATAGGCATAATAACATTATTTGAAAGTTAAATTGTAGGTTATTGAAGTGAATTTTCCAATTAATTTCTCGCGTCGAAAAAACTAAGTTGAATATTTGTGCTATTATCATAAATTTACAGTGCCAATGATAAAGGGACAGCAACACGTGGTCATGTTGATGATGACGATCAGAAAGAACTGTTGTTCGACGTCACCTACTTCAAGGCAAACCGAAAGGTACGATTATAAAATAAATATTATGCAATACATGAAAAAGTAAATTTATTACTCAACTATTACCTGGTGCACAATTGCCTTTTACTTAAGTTTGGCGCTATTGTCCTCAGTATGTTTCGATTACCCTAAGCTATGTTGGCTACCCTCATACCTTGCTGAACTTCTTCCACGTTATCGCCCGTCTCGTCACCCCCGTTCCTCCTCCCAAAACCTCCTCTCCGTTCCATCATATAATACTAAAACCTACGGCTTGAGCACCTTTACATCCGCTGCTGCTTGTCTCTGGAACAATCTACCTTTTTCAGTAAGATCATCTAATTCTATCTCTGCATTTAAATCTTCCCTGAAAACTCATTTGTTTAACAACTAGCTCTGAACTAGCGTACACTGCGCCTTTGATCATTGTACTGTGGAAATGGCGCATTACTAAATTTGTATTATTATTATTATTTCAAATGCTTTTTATGTTCAAACTTATGTTAATATATTATGTAAAATATGTTTATAAAAGATCATCACGACACCTACTCTTTACTTTTGAATTAAAATAGGCAGGAATTTCAAGTGATGCTAAACGCATTCTTACCACGAGTGCGCATGAGCGAACAGACAAAGAAAAATACCATGTAAGGATTACATCTTCATCTCTGAAATGCCATTTTTTCACTACACACTTAGACCTATATTGTAGGCCTTTGAATCTCATTCATCGATATTATGTCAATTCAATAATCATGTAATTTTATTGACAACTAAGTACCGGGTAATTATATATATAGGCCTGTATATATA